ATGCCAGGGCCGGACCCAGTTGTTACCCAACCAGTTCCATTTTGCCATGAAATTTATGGGTTGAGGTGTGGGGAGAGGGGATTGGAAGTTAGGAAGTAATGGACACTCTGTCCATGCATTATCAAACTTTCATCAAAGTTACCATCATGATGCACCTGCCCAATGTGTCATCTAATTTAACACAAGTGTCTAAGAGCAGGGAAAGCCGGTTAAGTCTAGAGGGTTTATTCCTAAGTTTCACAAAGGGAAGAAAGTAGCAGAAAACCCTGACTCAGGCGACTTAGGAGTTAATGATAACATTTTCTCATACACCAGCATCTCCAGAAGGAGTTCCTTTCTCAATGTAAACAGCATTTTGTTAAGTGAAATGTAAAAAGCCTTGCCTTAAGAATCAAGTCACCTATAAGCTGGGAGCAAACGCTCAGGCCAAAGTCAAAGAAGCCCACGTTCAGAGCCGTAAGGGGAGCGCAAGATGGTTTTGCCATGAGGGAGCGCATTTGCTTGGTCTTCATCCCTCAGCCTCCCAGAGGGAAAGAGAGGAGTGGTGCCCAGGCAGGCGGATAATGAGGACCTCCTATAGCCCAATACTCCACGGGCCCCTGTCAGGGTAAGGATGAACCCTAATCCATTCCCCTTGATCACAGGGACCTCCACTCAGGGTGATGGCTAGTGCTGACTGCAGCTGGGATTAATTTTTTTTTTTCTGTCCTTGGTGCTGGAGTTAAATTTTTATTTATTTATTGGTAGCAGGGATTGAACCCAGTGGCGCTTAACTACTGAGCCACATCCCCAGCCCTTTTTTATTTTTATTTTATTTTTTTTTATTTCGAGACAGGATCTCACTAAATTGCTTAGGGCCTCTTTAAGTTGCTGAGGCTGGCTTTGAACTTGCAATCCTCCTGCCTCAGCGTCCCAAGTCGCTGAGGTCCCACTGCAGCTGAGAAGGGCAGAAAGCTGTCCTGGAGGGGTCTTGATCACAGCCCCTCCCTCTTTGCCTTGAGCAGATCTGCAGGCCAGTTGCCTTATGGAATCTCAAGCCAGGTATTGGGTGGAAGGTGTCCACGGCAGGTAGAGCACCCAGGTACCTGGCAGAAGCTAGTGGGAATAATTTGCAGAGGAAGCACCTCTATCCCAGACACCCTGGGGTCCTCAGGCATCACTTTTCAAGGGCGATGGCCTTTGCACAAATATATATA